TATAATTGAAAATAATTTTACGAAAAAGTTTAACACTGACCGGGGCTCGAACCCCGGCCCCCTTCCTCAATCATCTTGGATGCCGTCGCACTAACCATTGCGCCACCGCGTCAAACGCTCATCTTTGTATTCTGTCCATCGTACCAGTCATTTACGCTACTCTAAATTGAAATAACCTGTTAGAAATGATGCATTTCAATCGGCTAGGCTCAAGATTCGCGCGCGTTTGAGTTTCATAAATCAATATACGTCAAAATATAAATCCACAACGGTGAAATTTTTATTGAATGGCATACTATTGGTTGGAAAACCTCCCGAAGTCCAAAGTTCATCAGCCAATCATTATGCACATAGGCTCCCAAGTTCGAAGATTCGATAGGCGTACCATTCCGTCGTTCCCTGTAGCTTAAGCACATGCAAGTCAAAAAATACGCTCAAAATAAAAAAAATTAGTGGTGGGTACGAAGACTTTTGACACCCACTGTACATCCTCGAGACTTGACGAGAAAGCAGGCATAGAACCTTTTTGAATGGAGGTTTGCTGTCGGTGAGCTGCAGAGTTGCCACCGAGCTGCGACTGGAAGCGACATTCAACGCCCCTACACAACGTCGTCAATCATTGCTGCGTTCAGCGGCATCATGGAACACTTGCCGCTCGTTTGGGGTCAGACCCAACTTGGACGACAGCGCCGCTTGAGTCAGATGAAAATGGTGACGTTTGCGCGTCTAGCACGAAAGCGTCACCGTGAGACATAGTCTATATGATGTGTTACCTTCATCAGTGTTGCATTGAATGAGAGACCCTTTGCTGAAACAAGTGTCCTCTCTGAAGGGGAAGACATGATATGCTTCCAAGGTGTTGTTCCGCTGAAGCGGACACATACGGGGACGGCTGGACTTCAGTGGGTCTCATGGCTCTTAACCGTCGACAACCTTTGCCCCGCCTCGGTCCGTTGCCATCCTTAGCGACGCAGTCTCAGAGGAGAGACGTCAGCCTAGGCAATTGGAGGATAAAAGCACCCGCCATGTCCCTAAGCATCCACTGCCTTGGAACCTAGACTCCTTTTGGCACATCGGTAAATTGAATAATTGACCTCTTTCTCAATTACAAAATTTTCACGTCAGAGAATGTAGTTCTCAACTAGTCATTACAGATAAACACCAAATCACGCATTAGTTGATTTTGGTATTAAGGCTCCGACATTCGAGAAAATGGTACACCGAGTGTTTGCAGCAGTGAAGCCTGTCCTGAAGGGGCACTACATCAAGCATGTCAGCATGGACTCTCAAGCGGAGAAAGCGCGTTTGTTTCGGAACTACCCTTATGCCTTGTACTGCACGGACGTCAAGTTCCAGCCATCTTTCCGACCCACGGGACGCTTTGACGAGGCTAAACATTACTACTCTGGTAAACACAAGCTCTATGGTCTAAAGATTGAAGTGTCCGTTGCATACCCGGGGCTTGCTGTTGACCTGTCGAACCACGAGCCTGGCTCTGTGTCGGATTGTACAATGTTCATGCAACGCCTTTCGCTGCACGAGGCAATGTTGGCGAAAACGGATGATGAACTGGATATTGAAGACCACGGAGAAGGCTCAGGTGATTACCCAGGTTCATGGGCTGTACTCGTCGACAAGGGGTATCAAGGAATTCAAAACAACATTCGATCGATTCAGCCTCAAAAGCAGCCAAGAGGAGGCGTCCTGAGCCATCGTGAGATCGAGCGAAATTCAAGGGTATCCTCAGACCGAGTTCTTGTTGAGAACTATTTTGGCCGCATCTGTATGCTGTGGAGCATCATGTACACGACTTTCAAGTGGAACCAGTCCAACTACGACATGATATCACGAATGTGTTGTGCGTTGACGAATGTCCATGCTGGATGGATGCCTCTACGTGGAGAAGACGGCATTTACTACAAGGGTGTTCTTGCTCGATACAGCGCCATGTCGGATGCGAGTAGGCGAAAAAAGAGCCGCAATCAAGCTGCCTACAAGATTCGAAGAGCCAGACGATTGGGACTCCCGGTGCCATCACGTGAAGCTGAGATCGTACCTTTGAACCATATAGAGAGATCGAGTAACTGATCATTACAAAAATCGACTTTCACTCATTCAGTCTCATACGATGATATCAAATTATTTATCATTTGCTTGCTTTTTAGTCATCATTTGACTAAAATGGAATTAAACAAGTTATGAATTAATAGTGAGTCACTGAACTAGAGGTCTAATGAGCAACAAGGCACATGTCCAAATTGAAGTCTCCCAGAAATTTGTATAATGTGATGGAGGTATAGTTCCTTCGGGAAATTTCACGAGAATTCTGGACAACATTCCAGACGCATTTTAGCCAATCAATGAAAAGTAGGACGGGGTGTCCGACTTATTCCATCACAACAAATTGATTACTGGTTTGGCCACTTTGAACGGGCAGTGTGTAGTATTATAATACTATGAATGACTACAAATGGGCGAGCTTTTCCATCGTTATATGTACGTAATCAAAATGGCACAATGGGGCCACCACGTCAAACATTGAGCCATTGTGATCATCCACCCGCCGACGCTGTCTGGCCCTCATCCTGCGCAGATTCCGCCCCACGTGCAACACGAACAACCGAAGAGGAAGCGCCGCCTCCCGTGAATCACTGACTTAATTAATCTGCTGCCAATCGGGCAAAACTCAGAGTGAGCTGTTCGGTTAGTTGCCTCAATACTCAATCCTGATTGGATACCTTGAGTGACTGTTGACACCGTCGATCTTCTACAGTACAATAGAAAAAGTAATAAACGTTTCTGTTGTGAGACGTGGATGAGTGATGTTTGTGGCGCTTGGTGGCCCTAGGCCCCACCAGTGCATGGCTGAGCATGACTGACTCTGCACACAACACATCCCCTAGAATGGCAAGTGTCACATAGTTGTTGACCTGAAATCGATTGTCTCTCCTGGGCACGTGCCATGCCTATGCAATTGAACCAGTGGTCATTCTTCATTTGGCCAGCTCGCAATCGCTTGAGGATGTTGTGGAATCGGTTGGCACTCTTGACTGTACGTACGAAAGTCTACCACATTGTAGTCGCACTGACTTGTTACACTGGACCAGGCTATAGCTGGCTCGGCAGTGTCGATCACCGACGTAGAAGTCCTAGCATCACTGCGTGACGATCCCATCGGCTACGCCATGCCTTGTTCCAACCGAACCTTCTGGCAGCCCATACTTGACGCCAACGTCAATATTGTGAACGCTGTCCGTGCTACGGGAGTCAAGCGGTTAAAACAGGCGATGCCGCCATGGAGCGACGCCGCATACCTGCTCTACAACCAGACAGGCAACCGCGTAGATGGCCAGACTATGATGAAGAAACGCCATGAGTTCACTCGAGACCTTCTCTTGGCCGAGTGCTTTGACATGAACGGCCGGTTCTTGGCCAAGCTCGACAATGCCCTGGTGTCGTACGCGACTCAGCGAACGTGGGTCTTGGCTGCCCACGACTCGAAGCTCGACGTGTA